ATTTCCTGCATGTCTTACTAGGTGGTCACTCCATTTAGTGGGGGGACGCCCTACACTTCGTCCACCGGTACGAGGATGCCACTCGAGATTTTGCCCCATCGGTTGTCGGTGCATCGAGCTATATGACCGGCCCATTGCCATTTCAGTTTACTAATCCGTTGGGCTATATCGGTCACTCTGGTTCTCCTGCGGATATCCTCATCATTTATCATGCGGAGAGACCCCGATCATAGCCCTCTCCATAGCTCGTTGAGCGACCTTGAGCTGCCTCATCCGGCCAGCAGTGAAGGACCACGTCTCAGTTCCATAGGTCATCACTGGCAACACGCATTGGTTGTACAGTCTCGTTTTCAAGTTTTGAGGTATAACAGAAGAGAAGATGTGCCGTAATTTCCTGACCGCTGCCCAGCTGAGTTAAATCCATCGATTGACCTCTCGGTCGCAGTTGGACTTACCTAGTTGGACTATTTGTCCACAGGTAAATATACTCGTCAACAACTTCGAGCTTAGTGCTCCCAACAACTACCGGCATAGGTGTGACAAGGACGTTATACATGGTCTTTATTTTGTCCATGTTCATCTTAAGACCTATAACGGAGGCGCTATTGAGATCATTGTTTAGGTCCTCCAGCGATTCTGCTATAAGGACTATATCATTGGCAAATCTAAGGTGAGTAATGTACTCGCCGTTGATGTTAATATCGTGTCCTGTCCAGTCCAGTGACTGGAAAACCTCTTCCAATGCAGCGATGAAGAGTATCGGAGATATAACGTCACCCTGTCTCACACCTCTCTGCAGTTGCATAGGTTTCGTACTCTGATTCTGTACTCAGATAGCCATCGTAGTTCATAGCCCTACTGTAAAAACACTTCAGCACTTTGATATACCGACAGTCAAATTGGCACCGCTGAAGGGACTGCAGCACCGCCCAAATTTCGACGGAATCAAAGGCTTTCTCATAGTCCACATACCCCAGACATAGTGGCAAATTGTAATATATATAATTGTATAATTTTTTATAAATGTTATTTAAATATTTACATTTATATTGGTTCATAATCGGTGAAGATGTGTACATAACGTAGTAATAATATGTACACATACAAAAAATAAGTTAAATTGAGAACCTCCTCGTTTTTGAAGTCGGCAAAAAAATCATCCAAATCGTTGAACCGTTTTCGCAAAACTGTTTAATATACAAAAATTGCTCGCTTTACTACCTGAATAAAACATTGAAAATCGTATCTCAGGTATACTCGATATAAATAAAAGTTTGATTTCAAAAGTATCTTTGCCTTATCATCCGTATGAATTACAAATTTTGGTGAAACGGTCTCGATCTTGACTGCAGAGAACAGTCGGCGAGCGACAGGCCACGTGACCAGTCCTCTAGGTTGTCAAAGTGTGCAGATAGGTGTCGCTTCGGTGACTAACCAACGCTTACATTGATCTGAGTCTATGCTTGGTACATATTAGTAATTAATAGTTATTACTACGTCTTATTGTTACGTCATCCTTGTCAATTGTGCATACCGCGTCCTTATAAACAACAGGTTAGTCTATTAATAAATTATTATATTATGTTTTAAGAACAACTTAGATTTGTACTATCGCACATAAACGCTTTGTGTTTTCTCTACCAATACATGTGTCACGTGCGCTTCCAATGTTTAAATGTTGGCAGCACTGAGCCGGTCGGAAATTAATGTTGACTTATCTATATGGAGATCTTTTTTTTCTCTATGTTCAAGTCATGCATATAGCTCTGTTTACAATAAAATTAAACAACACTTCAGTATTTTATTTATGTATATTATATGTTTACTTAAGCTTACTAAAATATTATGAAGATCTATCATGTTCGCGAAGAGAACAAAGTATAAAATGCCAAACGGTAGAGATACGATACGATTTATTTCTATGTATAGATAATAATCTATGTTATCATTTGTTAATGTCGACTGTTTTAAAACAAATTTGAAATCTTCGTATGTATGTATTTGTATCTAGTCGTATCTGTTTTTTTTTTATAGAATAAGGGTGACAAACGAGCACACAGTCCACCTGATGGTAAGTGGTTGCTGTGGTCCATAGACTTCTACATAAATGCAGATGCGTTATCAGCCGTGAAGACTAAGATAGAGTGCCTCTTTTCCAGTAAAATGGGTCTCCGGTTCTCTACACTCACCATACGAAACACAGCAGCATTAAGCTGCCATTTTACACTGGTATTCTGTGAGAGCGTGGTCCTTCTCCGGTCGAGCCGACCCATTCGTGCTACAACTATATTATTAATATAGCCGCAGCATGGCTCTACTACGTAAAAATATAATATTCATTAATTTATTCTGTCTCCTCTGTCCTCTGTACTTTCAATATTAAAATTATTAATTCGAACACGAATAGTTGGAAAATGTTATATTTATAACATTATAATTTATTTACTAACCGTATAGTGGCGGTGTAAGAATATCTACTACCCTATATAATTCCGTGGGTGTTGTAAGATGGACAGCAGCGTCTTCATAATAATGACTAAAAATAAAAAGCGGTTACCAACCCGCTTGTCAAATGTAGCAATTACGGCAAATATCCTATGAGGCATTCTATGAGGGGCTTATGTTCAGCAGTGGACTTTAGACTGTAACGGTAACGGTAACGGTAATTTATTTATTGTTAATAATTATTTTATTAATAAATTAATATAAACAGCTTTGCACGTGTGATTTCTGGATCTCGACAACAGCGCCACCTACCGGATCCAATTATGTTTTTAAACTATCCAGGAACCCCCTCAAATACGTAAAGAAAATTTCATCCAAAACGGTCGAGCCATGTTCTAGTTTTTGCGAGACTAACGGACATCAATCGATTTTTACAAATGTATAGAGATGAAGAAGTTTATCTTGGTCAATTTTTATAACTGGTTGATAATCATTTTTATCAATTAAGATATCGAATTAAAATAGCATAGAGATTAAGGGCGCTGGAATATTATCATTTATGAACTGCAGCCACTTCTATTACTTATTCTGTGACAATAGAGTCGTGGATCAAACATAGACTCGTAGGTCGAAACTTGCAATAAATATCTAATCGTTTTCAACTTGTTAAATTTAGACAGTGTGGCGCTAAATATTTAGTAATTTTTTAATTTAAATAAAACTAGTCATTACGGATTTTATCGCGTACATTAAGTTATTTTATATTCCCGACGTTTCGAGCACTTTACAACACCCATAGTCACATGATCAATTTTTTTACTTTTTATTACATTAAAAATAATATTTATGATGACAGTGTGGCCTACTGACCAATAATGGCCTGATAACGTTATGCCATGTGGTGTCGGTGTAAGAACATCCACAACCTCATTTCGTCCCATGGCTGTGGTTAGAGACGCCTGTGGTAAATGCCAGAAAAACCTCACAGCATTTGATGGATGGTGGTATAACCACAAGTTTTTGTTTTTAGGTACTGAATAATATATACAATATCTGTTATTGATCCAAACGTGTTAAACGAGTACACAGTCCATCAGATGGTAAGTGCATGCTGTAGCCTATAGACACCTATGTACATCTAATTTTGATTAAGAATCAAAACGCAGATGCATTGTTACTCCTGAAGATTATGATGGAATGCGTATGAATGAAGTCAGCCCGAGTTCTTATTTATTTATTTGGTCTACCAAAGACTGTTACATTACAGAAACTTAAAGTAGTTACATTGTAATAAACTATTATGAGCTAAATGCACAATCAGTTACAGGTAAACACAGCGTGCTATTTTAACATGTGACATAAGTACCTTTTACATTGATATAAGGTTAATTTTAAAATAGTTATTACAGATAAAAGATAGGTATAATTAATCTGGGATTTTTTTTAACAAATGTACACGAAAGTGGTTAAGTTTAAGAGAGAAAACATCCTTGGGATCATTAATAAACCACGTATTTAATGCGTTACACAGACGAGGAACTGGTGAATGTTTTCCTAAAACAGTCCTGCGGAATGGCGGATAAAATAGAGAAACGGGTTTCCTTGGAGCCCTGAACGGGATCCTGAAATTAAAAAGGTTTAGGAGCTGAGGGCAGTCGATTTGATTATTAAAAATTTTATAAATGAATATTAGGTCCAAAAGGGTCCTTCTTTTATTCAACGAGGACATTTTAAAGTGTTTGAGGTTTTCATGATAGGATAACTTTTTCTTTGAAACTTTGGAGATGTGAGATAAATGCCATAAAAAGCGTTTTTGGACCCGTTCTATTCTTAATATGTGCGTGGCATAGTGTGGCCTCCATACAACAGGGCAGTATTCAAGAAGACTGCGTACTAGTGCTTTGTACAAAGTGATACGTGTCTGTAAGTTTTTGAACACTTTACTGTTTCTAATAATAAAACCCAGCATATTAGATGAGCGCCTAACAATGCTTTCAATATGTGGTACGAAAGTTAATTTGTTATCTAGAATTATTCCCAGGTCCTTAATTCTATCAACTTCTTTTAATGGTATATCCATCAATATAATATTTGGATTTAGTTTTAATATGTTTGCGTGTAAATTTAATAAAAAAACATTCATCTATATTTAATTCCATCCCAATTGTACAGCACCAATTGTATAACCTATTTAAATCATGTTGTAACATAAGAACATCAGCTTGGGACTTAATAGTTCTGGCAATTTTCAAATCATCTGCGAATAGATAGGGCGTTGATGAAAGGAAACTATTGGGCATATCGTTGATATAAACGTTAAAAAGAATTGGCCCCAAATTGGATCCTTGAGGAATTCCTGAGGTTATCTTGTGAGCTTCAAACTTATAGCCTTTAGCAACAACCAAGAAACGTCTATTCGTTAGATATGAATTAATCCAGTTGGAAAAAAATTCCTTTAAAGCCATAGGCAGCAAGTTTGTCTATAAGAGGTAAGTGGGGTATTTTGTCTTTTAGTTCTAATATAATTATGCCTCTAAACTTTGTTTCAGTTTATAATGGACTTCATATTTTTATGGCTCGTTACCTTTGTGCTCGGATTTTGGATATTTAAAAAGTTAAAAGTATGGCAAAGCCTCCCTCCAGGTCCTTGGGGGTTGCCAATTGTAGGATTCTTGCCTTTTATTGACAGGCATCAACCACATTTGACTTTAACTAAACTTGCCAAAGAATATGGTTCAATATATGGAATTGGAATGGGCAGTATTTATGCAGTGGTGCTGTCGGATCATAAGTTGGTTAGAGAAGCATTTGCAAAGGAATCCTTTTCCGGACGCGCACCACTGTATTTAACTCATGGTATAATGCACGGAAACGGTAAGTCGTTAAAAGTTCACGTAAGGAGTTTTGATTCTAGGTTAATAAATAGTAGCCAGATAAGGTCATGCGTGATTATAGCTTGATGAAACCGTGTAATGGCGGTGATACAATATTCATTACACATATCGACCCGTGGATTGTGTAAGAGGCGGGAAACTAATAGGTTATGGGCAGCAACATCTTTCTGAAAATAACTTAAAATATTAAAAAAACTGCGTTTGCCAACCCGCCTGCCAAGCGTGGCAGCTATGGCAAAATTGCCCTAGCTAGTAGTAGTAGTAGTAGTAGTTATAAGGCAATTTATGGAGGAAGTCCATGTTTAGCAGTGGAATTTTATAGACTGCAATGGATGGATGTCATGTGTAACAGCAATGTCACACTTATGTCAGTAGATTTTTGATACCGGGTTTAGACTCTCGCCTCGCGGCTCGCCTCGTACCTCGCCTCGCAGCTCGCGTGTTGTAGCGAGGTAACGAGTGCCTGTTTACACTCTCGCGATGCGTTCAGTTTGCATTGATCCATCCATAGCGGCATCAACTCTTGTCTTAATAAGTATTTATCGATGCTTGACCATTTTAAAAAGGAGGAAATTAAAATAATATATAGCCTTCGACGCGAGTGCCGCGAGTGGCGTGGCGAGCTGCGAGGCGAGCCACGGGCTAGCGTTTACACTCCCACCTCGTGACTCGCCTCGCAACTCGCCTCGCCGCTCGTACGACAGTGTAAACGGGGGGTGAAAAGTATGTTTACCTAGAATAAATTGTTACACAAGGCAACTTCGGCCAACCTAACTCGGCTGGGCAGTGTTTGGGAGATAACTACACATATCGTCACGTATTTCTAAAAACCTGACCAGTGCGTGTTGCAGAGGCTCTTAGAGACGTATGATGAAGCTTAAAATGACTCAATGAGCTATGAAGGGGGCTATGCTCGGAATTTCCCTGCACGATTAACTTCGTAATGATGATATCTACAGTAATAACAATGTCTTTTAGACCGAACTTCGGTCACCGCGTCACGGTACTTGTCACTTCTCAACGGAGACTAGCCATCTGCCCAGGACAGGATTGTAGTGTCCGAGTGTACGAACAAACACTCTCTATTCCCTCACTCTCATAATCTGACGACACAACAGGAGAAGATCAGACGCAGGACCAACGGCTATACGTACTTACCGAGGCACGGTATAAAACACCGCTAACTTCCAGATTCCGTGTTGCTACTGAGAATTTGGTGACAAAAAATCAGTTACAGAGTTTTTTTGTCAGTTTCGATTTTTTTGTGAAAAATACTCAGGGCCATTTTATCTATAGCTCCGCTGCAAATTTCATATTTGCTATGCTAGAGTAATCGTCATGACCGGACGGATCAGTAAGCTAAAGTGGCAATGGGCTGGCCATATAGCTCGAAGAATCAACAATCGATAGGGAAGAAAGGTACTCGAATGGCAGATTTGTACCGGTAAGCGAACTGTCGGCTAATCCCTCACCAGATGGAGAGATGAAGTAATAAGAAATGCAGGAAGTCGATAGATCCGGATGGCTTAGGACTGTGTTTAGTGGCATTTCTTCGGAAGTCTATAGTAAGCGGTGGAGTTGTATTGATAATCATTAAAAAAATTGGTTAATTGGTGATAAATTTTCATGATTTGTTATTTTTGTGTGCCTTTATTAAGAAAAAGTTTAATTTTTATTATCGTTTGTCTTTTTTCGAGTGTATGGACAACATTTATAGTCTTCTAAAATAAATAATAAGCAACAGAAGTCCAGTTGATATAGATATAAAATTGAAGAATAAAAATTACACAATTTGAGTGAAACTCATGGCAAAAGAAAAATGTTTCAGATATCACTAGCATTACAGATAAGTTCAGTTTCATATTCAGATAGTTTTTTTTGTTTAAGGCATTATTTGTGCTGAAGGCGGGCTGTGGAAAGATCAAAGGAAATTAATAACAATGTGGCTGAAGAGCTTCGGAATGAGCAAGCACAGTATATCCCGTAACAAACTGGAGAAACGTATCGCTTTCGGCGTCAACGAGCTGATTAAAGTACTAATTAGAAACATTTCCTTATATTTTGTTTTGCGGGTTATCTAGGGCATACAAGCCATTATCAACGCGACTAACATGATCTGTTGTTATCCTACTAAGATTATATATTTTACTGTTATGACCTAAACTGTCAATCACTTGCAGGAGGTTCTTAGCTGGAGGGCTTACTAATTCTCTGGGCTTAACATCTGGTCCCTCAGATGAATGCTACGTTTGCGCATTAGGTTTCCGCATTAATAAATAATGTGCAGAGATGCCAAATTATTAATTATTATAATTACAGCGGAGCTTCTGAAAGCGGGTGGAAGACCGGTACTTGAAGTCCTTCAGAAGCTCTTTAATTCCGTCCTCCATGGTGGCATTACACCGGAGGTGTGGAGCAGAAGTGCGGTGGTCTTGTTCTTCAAGAAAGGTGACAACGCTCTCTTGAAGAACTACAGACCGATTTCCCTTCTGAGCCGCGTCTACGTGCTGTTTTCGAAAGTCATTACGAATCGTCTCGCGCGCAGACTTGACGACTTCCAGCCTCCCGAATAAGCCGGTTTCCGAAAAGGCTTTAGCACCATAGACCACATACATACCCTTCGGCAAATTGTACAGAAGTCCGAGGAGTACAATTTGCCACTATGTCTGGCGTATGTGGACTTTGATTCCGTCGAAATTTGGGCGGTGCTGCAGTCCCTTCAGCGATGCCAAGTTGACTGTCGGTATATCGAAGTGTTGAAGTGCTTGTACAGTAGGGCTACGATGGCTATCCGAGTATAGAACCAGAGTACGAAACCTATCCAATTGCAGAGAGGTGTAAGACAGGGTGACGTCATATCCCCGAAACTCTTTACCGCTGCATTGGAAGATGTTTTCAAGCTTCTGGACTGGAAAGGATACGGTATCAACATCAATGGCGAGTACATCACTCACCTTCGATAAAGTCCTTATGGCAGAATCGCTGGAGGACCTAAGCACTATGCCCAATGACCTCAATAGTGTTTCCCAACGGATAGGTCTTAAGATGAACATGGACAAAACAAAGATCATGTTTAATGTCCATGTCACACCTATGCCGGTAGTTGTTGGGAACACTAAGCTCGAAGTTGTTGACGAGTATGTTTACCTGGGACAAATAGTCCGACTAGATAAGTCCAACTTCGACCGAGAGGTCAATCGACGGATTCAACTCGGTTGGGCAGCGTTCGGGAAATTACGGCACATCTTCTCGTCAGGTATACCTCAAAACTTGAAAACTAGACTGTACACCCAGTGCGTGTTGCCAGTGATGACATACGGAACTGAGACGTGGTCCTTCACTGCTGGCCGGATGAGGAAGCTCAAGGTCGCTCAGCGAGCTATGAAGAGGGCTATGCTAGGAGTTTCTCTGCGTGATAAACTCAGAAATGAGGATATCCGCAGTAGAACCAGAGTGACCGAGATAGCCCAACGGATTAGTAAGCTGAAGTGGCAATGGGCCAGCCATATAGCTCGAAGAACCGACAACCGATGGGGAAGAAAGGTTCTCGAGTGGCAGCCTCGTACCGGCAGGCGAAGTGTAGGGCGTCCCCCCACTAGATGGAGTGACGACCTGGTAAGATATGCAGGAAGTCGATGGATGCAGGTGGCTCAGGACCGTGCTTTGTGGCATTCTTTGGGGGAGGCCTATGTTCAGCAGTGGACTTGTGAAGGGCTGTAATAATGATGATGTTGATGATGAGAGATGCCAAAATACCTGACACAGATGCTATAGACCAGAATCTGCACATGCTTAGTTTGCTCAGTCCCAAAATAGGCTCCAGCAGTGACCAGTCAGGGCTATTCTTACTTATGGTTGTTATGTTAATAACCTTATTAATTTTTAGTTACAGAATTGTACATCATTTGAATTAGGTACATTCAATGAGTGAGACCCGCAGTTTTTCATATTAACAAAAAACACACATTATTTCTTGAAAGTGACCTTTAATGGCACTGACAAATGTAACCGAGACTTGGTTCAGAAAAAAACACGATCCTCGACTTTTGTTTTTATAATGCGCTTGCTCGGAAGGCGACCGTCACAGTTGTCGAATGCTTATTTCGGAATATTTTACATGTTATTTACATTTATCCACAGGAGAATATATATCTATTTTAAATTTTAGAATGTAAAAGAAGCTTCTGGAACACCTATCGATCTAACATACATGTTAACTGATTCACTTGGTAACGTTGTTAATGAAATAATATTCGGGTATAAATACCCTTCCGAAGATAAAACTTGGAAATGGTTTAGACAAATACAGGAAGAAGGATGCCATGAGATGGGTGTGGCGGGAGCAGTAAATTTTTTACCTTTCGTTAGGTATAGTTTTTTTAATATTTTATTTTACTAGCAGCCTAACTAGGTCGCTGTGGTGCCTTCTTTCATATCTGTAATAAAACATCATAAATTTATCTTTAGGTTCTTTTCACCGTCAACGAAGAAAACAATTGAAATATTAATACGTGGCCAGGCACAAACTCATAGACTTTACGCTGCAATTGTTGAAAAGCGCCGCAAAGTATTAGGAGTGCCATCACCAGAAGGTGCAAAATACCCTTTACATAAAAACCTGTTCCATGATCATCCAGATGGATTTATTAAATGTATTAAATACAGTAAGCATGCATCTGAAACTGACGAGCATTACTTCGATCCCGAAACTCTGATAGCGACAGATGGTGAATGTATTCTCGATAATTTTCTTTTGGAACAAAAGAAAAGATTCGACAGCGGCGATGAGACTGCAAAATACATGACAGATGAACAGTTGTTATATCTCTTGGCGGATATGTTCGGAGCAGGCCTTGATACAACGTCAGTCACTCTCTCTTGGTTTTTGTTACATATGGCTCTGTACCCGGAAGAACAGGTATAGACCTTTAAGCATCGTCAGTTTTCTAAGCATTTTACTTGTCATCATAACTGTGCAAATTAATTTTGTACTACTGTGACAATATTTTTTTCAGGAATCTGTTCGACAAGAGATTTTATCCGTTTTAATAGACGAAAATGATTCAGATTATTCAAAATTACCTCGTCTAATGGCAGCTATTTGTGAAACGCAGCGTATTCGTTCTATTGTACCCATTGGCATTCCTCACGGATGCACTGAAGTTAGTAAGATTACATACATATAGACTTTATTCAGTATCTTGATATTATATCGATGTGATTTTTATAACAGGACACATATTTAGGAAACTACAGAATTCCAAAAGGCACTATGATAATTCCACTTCAATGGGCACTTCACATGGATCCTAATGTTTGGGAAAATCCAGAAGAATTCAATCCTAGTCGGTTTTTAGATGAAGATGGAAATTTACTTAAACCACAAGAATTTATACCTTTTCAAACAGGTAAGATATTTGTATTTTTACGCCCACTCGTAGATTTAACATGACATGATTGTCAGATTTCTTGCGACCGACAGCAGCCTAAAGGTTAAGGATACGAAGTCTAAAATTAAAAAGTTGTCGGTTTGAATGCGGACTATAGTCCTGTACCTGGCACAAACATTTTTAGCTTAGTTTAGTATTAAATAAAATACAATGTACACTTGTGGTATGTGGTATTTTAATATAAATGTTTTAATTAACACTATAAAATCCATTCGATGAGGTTTTACGAGGATAAGATTATAATCTTAAAAAGTTAATATTTACGTTTAACCGGTTAATTGCTGACAATCTTCAAAACTTTTACCTCTTGTTGCATAACTGTAGATAAGCAATCGATATGTAAATTTTAGCAGGAAGTTACTAATATCCCTTTACTAGTTTTAACCAGTTTGTCTTTGAAAGTCTTAGTATATTAATTCTAATTCATTATTTTTTATAAAAAAAAATGAATTGATTTATTGCTTCTACCATCTCAAATACTTTTACTTTGGATATTTTTGTTTTTAAAACTTTTTTTATTTACATAAATTTATTGATACTACAATTTACGTTACCTTCTTTATTTTTACAGGAAAACGAATGTGTCCTGGAGATGAACTCTCTCGAATGATATCGTGTGGATTAATTACACGCTTGTTTCGCCATATGCAAGTGAAATTAGCTGCTGAACCTCCAACTGAAGAGGAGATGCGAGGGAATGTCGGTGTGACCTTGTCACCTCCGAAAACTTTATTTACTTGTGTTCCTCTTGCATCTTATCATTAATTAGTAAATGTTATTGACACAATATGATGATAATTTGTGTTTTTGCATAGATCCAATTTTTTGTGTTCGTATGATGTAATCAGAAAATAAAACATTAAGCAGTATAAATCTTGATTTTGTTGAAACTTTTTACTCGACTTTATACTTTTTTCATAATATATTGTGTCAATTCTTTGTTTAGAGAGAGAGAGAGAGAGAGAGAGAGGAGAGTGAGAGAGAGAGAGAGAGAGAGAGATGTAGATGAAGAAATATTTTAGATTATTTTTGGAAAGGATATTCAGGGTAGATAGGTATTAGAAAAAGTTAAACTAGATTTTAAATTTCTATGAATAATTTCATTGTTTATTTACGCTACATATTTGTAATCACAAAAACAAAGCGGAATTTACAAAGCAAGACATAGTTGTGTGTTTTTTATTTGTTAAATTTAATATCAAGACCTGCAGTTTTAATTGTTTTTTAGGCAACTTTGTTGCGAGCAAACTGTGTTTCGAAAAACAATTTATACATTTGTGAGTCCCAAAGAAATAACAACAATGAACTTATAGCGACAAAACTACCGCTCTTAGACTAGTTGCTGGTTCTACACTACCATGGAATGTTACTAGGTATATTACACATGATAGGTACAATTAACACTAAATATAATAAACGATGAACACGTGAAAATCTTAACAATTACAAAATCATATGAAACGCAAAACTTGAGATCACACTCAACAGACAACACTCTCACAAGTGGTACCTACTAATAAATAATGATCTAGAATAAACAAAATTATTTTGGTATAGGAAACTAGAGCTTAAGACTTCAGTAAAATAAACAATCTTTACTTTTTAATTGTTCCATACAATGCATGTGATTTAACTTATCTCACAGATCGAATACATATAATACTGCAGTCGTACGAATTCGTAATCTCAACGATGGGAATTTACTGTATAAACTAAATTAAAAAGTTCGGTCTACATATAATTGAACACTTTATGCACAGCCTCGACCATCGCTCATGCGATATCGTTACTTATATATTAAAGACTTAATTTAATTGTCATCGATACGCTCTAAAACGAGTGATCATTGAATACTGGTGGGTATATGGGTATTGTGGCAAACATGAACGTAGCTGGGAATCTGCAAAACAAATTTCACAATTCTTTATGTAAAGTACTGTATGTCTAAAAACAACGTGGAAAAAGCATGTGATGGCTATATTGTCTAACTCCGACTTTGTTTAAATACATGCAAGTGTTTTATAATAAAGTTCCAAGCTACGCCCATGGCGGCAAATGGAGCTGTTTTAGTGGGCTCCAACATAGCGCAAATGCGAGTTGTCAAGCGCAAGGGTAGGCGCGCTGGGTGTAACACGAGGTAAGAAGCGCACACGGAAGGCTTCAGGTGAAATTGTCGCTCCAACCGTGCCTTCTAATGATGGTGGTGCGGCTCCTGTTTCCATTTGTACATCAAACTGATGCATCATGCTTGCGAAGAACATAAACATTTCCATACGGGCGAGCACATCTCCTAAACACATACGACGACCAACTCCAAAGGGCATAAAGTACTCTGGGCGCTTGATTTTGCCGGTGTCGTCGATAAATCTGCTAGGATTGAACTTGTTTGGCTCATCCCAGAGATTGGGATCCATGTGTACACAATTGATGAGGGGAACAACTTGTGATCCCGCTGGGATTCTGTAACCGTTAAGGTGAACGTCCCTGTTGGAGAGAGAAACAGTGATTAGAAAATATGTGGAAAAGTTAAATCTAAAATATTGTAATGTGATATTAACAAGGGAACTTACTTTGTGGGCGAATGCGTGGTAGCTAGGGGGACAATGCTGGACATGCGCAGTGTTTCTAAAATTGTTGTTTCAGTGTAAGGCAAATTAGGCATATCTTCAATAGTAGGTAAACGTTCCCGGCCAACAACACGGTCTAATTCTTCTTGAACTCGTCTCTTCACATCTGGGTTTCTCAACATAAAAACAATCATCCACAAAAGTGAAGACTTTATCGTTTCCATCCCAGCGGAAAATAGATCACCGAGAATTTGTTTGATTTGTAATTCTGAAAACAAAATAAGTACGCCGTTTCACAAAATATTTGATCAAAATAAAATAATTTAAAAAAATTAAGTGAAAAGCAATAATGTGTCTGTCTATTGCATATTTACTTTTTGTTTACTTACCATGATCTCTACCTTCAAATAATTCTCCAGCTCTACCTTCATTCTTCGCTTTTTCTATTTCAATCAGATAGACATCAATGAGATCTCTGGCGTTATTGACATCGAGGGTGTCGCGGTGTTCATCGATGAGAGTCTGATAAAATGCGAACATTTCTTCACGATTTTTAGCCACTTTCTCTTGAGCTTGAGCCTTGCCGGGTAGATACTAAAAATATTAAAGTTATTACATTTTTCTTCTATTTACGTAAAAATATAAAATAGAAGTTTTAACATTTATATACGTACATTATACAGTGGTATGTATTCTCCATAATGTATTTCACCAAATAGTCGCATGCCTTCTTCAATGAGATGGTTGAGCCTTTCAAAACGCAAATCTCCGTGACTGAAGTGTACAGACATGGTGATGCCGCAAATTACGTTTGATACGCCCAAAGCGAGCATAGGGTTTGCGTCTATAGGCGCACCTTCCGTGCGTTGTAAATTCTCTATTAATTCGTAAACCTCACTCTGTGAATTAAAACGTCTTTATTATAATAATTGTTGTTTAAGCCCGTCAAAAATTCGTTTAATTTGGGTATTTCACTTTTTTTGAAATTTCACTTATCAATTTTTTTACTGACCTTGATTCTGCCTTCCATAATTTTCTTGCCGTTGCCCATGTAAGTCATGCCAAATTCTCGAAGTTTTTCATGTAGGAACCGGCGTTGACTTTTCCATAGACGACCTTCGCTGTTGATGATACCTGCACAGAGGGAGGCGTTAGTCGAGTATGCAAGTGGGCGGTGCTCGGAGTGATGCGCGGGTGGACCCGGCATGCGCCCTCCGGCAACGCATTCGGTCAGGCCTCTCGTTTATATACAAGTATAAAGTGACATTATGAAAAATAGTGTTTACATAAGAAATTATAGTTTACTTTTTAACGCTGTTTTGAAACAAAAATTTGCTCAAGTCCATTAATTATTACACCAAATTCATAATTTTTTATGACATAAAAAAATTAAAACAAAATAAAAACTAGAGATAAATATTAATGTATACCCAAAAAATCATATTAATTAACTTACCTAGACCATCCAATGTATGCATGAGCGGAGTACTAGGGCGACCAGTAAACTCTTCTCGGCGAAAAGCTTCCCTAATAAGCTTGTAGTCGCTGAGAACGACTGTTAACTGATTGCCGAGCCGAGCAGAAAATAGAGCACCGTAGCTTCTTGCAAGCTCCAGGAAGGTTTTATGGCGAACTCCAAGAAAAGGCAGGTAACCGACGACTGGCGGTCCCCATGGTCCCGGCGGCAGTTTGCGCATTTCCCGGAGCACAATCACCAAACGTGCAGCCAAGAACGCGACGCCCGCTGTCAGCAAGAGAGGCAGCGACGTCCTCGAACTGCAGTAGCTCACGATTTGCCACAGCCCCCACAACAATTTAGAGTTTGTGAATATCGTTAACATTTTTCTTCCGTTAAGTACAGAACAAAAAACAAATTTACGTGTCTTTGTGAACTGAACGTAACATTAGTGCACGGAGCGTAAATCGCGACAATATGGTACCGAGAACTCTGTGATTGTATATCGCATGCGACCGACGCTTGCGCACTGGCGCGTCGCTGGCGTGGCCTTGCGAATAAATACGCGCGGGGTGGCGCGCGCGCAGGCTCGTCCCACCGGCGCTCCTCTCTCCGCCGCTTTTCCATTGCCCGCCAGCTTGCTACGAAGCTCGTAGCGTAGTCGTAGACAACTTTTAATTTCAGTCCCTTGGCGAAATGGAAAGAAACTTTCTAAATTGTATCCTATGACAAAATTATATTATGGACGATGGTTTTAGACATCGCTAATATTTATTTGTAGAAAAGTGTTTAGTAATTTTTGTAGTTTGTTGAAAATTCATTGCATGTTTTGATTATGCGATTTATGCATTGTTAGTCTTGACTTTGATGATGACCTCCCAGCAGTACGTACAAGAATGCTTATTAATTCATGAGCCGGCGTCAAATTCGGCGAGGGGTGAGAGGGGCTATCGAGGTCACGCGGGAGTGCATGCAGATGATAAGATTAACGAATTGCGTAAGTTGGCGCGAGGCAAGGTGACGGCGGGTCGTCGACTCGCACCTAAGAGCCTTGGGCGAAGTTCTACGCCGCTCGACCTCTAACTAATGACAATTAAATCATTTTATTTTAATAAACGTATTTAATAAAAAGTTTTGTTTAATGTAATTCAAACTATCTATCATTGTTTTTTATTAAACGTCTATTAAAAGACATAGTCTATTAGTATAAGAATAATCCCAAGAAACGTGGTTTGGTTTTTTGATAACTTTGTTCAATCGCTTTATGACTAGATTAATAATCTTGTAACTTTCTTCCAAAAGTAAGTAATTTTTAAAACAAAACAAGTATGAATTCAGTGCGTAAACACATAATATTCATTCAAATTGATGTAGCAACAATAATAACAGCGGGCTATTTTTTATTTTAAAATAATAATTGTAAATATCTATGTATAATGATATAAACGCAAAATTATAAATATTAAGCGTATTTATTATTATTGTTTTGATCCAGACCCAGAAATGCGTTATCACCCCTTTTTTATAGGATAAGGGTGACAAACGAGCACACAGTCCACCTGATGGTAAGTGGTTGCTGCGGCCCATAGATATCCACATCTATCCTCGTTTGCGAATCAAAATGCAGATGCGCTGCCACCCGTGAGGACTAAGATGGAATGCCTCATTTCCAGTAAAAAGGGCTTCCGGCCACCTGCACTCACCAAGTGAAACGCAGAGGTAAATCTCTACTTCACGCTGGTATTCTGTGAAGTCGTGGTACCACCCCGGTTCGAGCCGGCCCATCCGTGCGACAGCAAAAGCTGCCGCGTGGCTCTACCACTGTTAAACCCCTGAAGACTAAGAATGAAATAAGAAGGAATGCTGAAGGACTCGCCATATACGAACTATTTCACGCTGTGAGAGCGTGGTCCGTCCTCGCTCTATCTAACCCATTCGTTCTACAACCGTAATATAGCTGTAGTGTAACTTTACCACATTTAAACTGTATTTTTGAAAGTTTTTTACAGCAACCGATTGAAACGGCTCATGGATAAAAATCTAAAAGGACTTATTACATAAAGTTGTTTGCCAATAAGATCTAAAAGTACATTTGTGTTGCATCTAAACAAATAGGTCCTAACTTAGCGATTAATACTATTCAGAGAGCATCAAAAGCAACATTGATTTTCCGTAATTAGTCTCGAGTTGACGAGACGATAAGAATATAATAGAACATCACTTGTACCTATTTAGGTTTGAAAAACTACATTATCTGGGTATACAAAATTGGTATGTATTATGTTGAAAATATCTCTCTTCTAATAACACCCGACTGGGTACCAGAGGAACATAACGTATAGGAGAGCGTGTTGAGTCTCCCTTTACCGCCAAGCACGTAGTATACCACAGAATAATTATGTACTTACAATTAATTACAACATTATAAATTTCATTATTCATCAGCCAGATACGTAATGCCTCTCTCTATCATCCTGATCTCCAGTGTGTGTGTATACTGTATATGCAGGTGTGCTTATACAGTATAAATAGTGGACCATATATATATATTTGCCTCTCCCTTTTTAGGGAGGGTTACCACAACTGACAATCGATGTAACAATCACTGAATTTTATACGTGGTAGAGCCATGCTGCAGCTACATTAGTAGTATAGTTGTAGCACGAATGGGTAGGCTCGACCGGGGAAGGACCACGCTCTCACAGAATACCAGCGTAAAATAGCGGGTTAATGCTGCTGTGCTTCGTATGGTGAGTGTAGAGAACCGGAGACCCTTTTTACTGGAAACGAGGCATTCCATCTTAGTCCTCACGGGTGACAACGCATCTGTATTTTGATTCGTAATTGAGGATAAATGTAGATATCTATGGGCCACAACAACCACTTACCATCAGGTGGACTATGTGGTCGTATGTCATCCTTATCCTATAAAAAAAAACTTTATATTTTTTACTACTTTCAAATAATAATAGTATGTACTTGCTTATTTTCATTGAATTTTATTTCGTACTAGCTGTTCCCCGCGACCTCGCTCGCGTCTTAGGGTTTTTATGTTTTTGCCCGGGACCCTAATTATTTATCTAAAATAAAAGTAGTCTAAGTTACTCCTTATGAAATCAGGTACCTGCCAGTGAAAGTCCCGTCAAAATCGGTCCAGCCGTTTCGGAGATTAGCCGGAACAAACAGACAGACAGACAAAAAATTTAAAAATTGTGTTTTTGTTACAAGTACCGTATATACTTTCATATGCAATTAGTAAAAAGCTGTAATTTTGACATTACAAACAGACACTTCAATTTTATTTATTTGTATAGATGTATAGATATTTATTTTACTTATTTTTATCTAATAATATTACAATAAATATTTTCGATTAATTCCATTTTTAAGCCCGAGAACACATTGTTGTTTCTTAGGGTTGATTAATAGAGAGTGAAAAAATAAAAGTCAACCTCAATACGCTACGAGGGTATTAAAAAAACCATCATCAACTTCTTCAATCTTTCTATCTCTTTATATGTCAATCCATCTTCATCGTCTATTTTTAAATATTTTCCCATAATCGAGTCAAGCTATATGGCCGGCCCGTAACCACTTCAGCTTAAAGAATGAAGGTTCCCGAGTGGAATTTTCGTACCGGTAAGCAAAGTGAGCCGTGGTAGTTCAGATGTTTAGCGCTCGCTGTAGGTTTTACAGTACGCGAGCAATCTGGGTTCTATCCCCGCCGGCACCAATGAAATTTTTAATTGCAATTTTAAGTGCTGATCTTCCACGTGCTCGGCGGTGAAGGAAAACATCGTGAAGGCGAAGGAAAATATTTTGAAGACATGTGAAATTCGCCAACACGCATTGGGGCAGCGCGGTGAACATTCCCTTGCCCTAAAATTGCCTCTCAGAAATGAGAGGAGGCCTGTGCCCAGAGGTGGGACATACACAGGCTGTAACTTTAACTTTTTAGCAAAGTGTAGGACGGCCCAAAACTAGATGGAGTAACGACCGGTAAGAGATGCAGGAAGTCGATGGATGCAGGTGTATTAGGAACGTGCTTTGTGGCATTCCTTGGGTGAGGCCTATTTTCAGTAACAGACTTGTGAAGGGTTGTAACGATGATGATAAAGTGTCGATGTTGTTCGTTACAGATGATGGAGCCAAGTTCCCCGGGTCATTTATAAAAATCACTTAATGGGAACAATAATAATTAATTAATGATTGTTTTATTCCATTATGAAATAGAATTATTTATTTTATTTATGTATAAATTAATTCAGCATTATTAAGATAAAATAAGGTCATTAAAAATAAAATATTTCTCGTATTTAAAATTCTGGCTTTTAGATTTTTATTAACTAGTCGTTGAAATCTCTTGCTGTACAAAACCTTTTAATGAATACAGGTCAAAATCAAATTAAGACCGCATCAACATTAAGTTTGAGCTTCATCGTAATTAAAAAAAAAAGGTTAAGCGAGGTCGAAATACTTGACCAACATTTTGTATTTTTTTGAATGAAGATAGAAAATAAATTAAAACTTGCTCTTAATTTTTAATACTGTTATTCTAAAAGTATGAAAATTAAAATTGAAATATGATTTTTTAAGCATTATAATATTTTCTTAATAGGAAAATAAAATAAAACAATTTACTGGGTTGGTCAATAAGTTTTTGGAAACCTAATGAAACTCTAAACTAGGATAAATTATATGAAAATTGTATTTATTTTTCAACGTAATCACCTTTTAAGCTAATACCACACCTTGAATAGCGTTTTGCAAGTTGGTTAATTCCCTTGGAAAAAAGGCTTGAGCTCTAGGACTCGAAAAATGCTTCTACGGCATACATCACCTCATAGTTGCCGTCGAATTTTATACCACGCAAGTGATTTTTCAGCTGAGTAAAAAGGTAAAAATCACTCGGAGCTAGGTCCGGAGAATATGGTGGGTGCTGCATCAACAGAAACCCAGCAGTTCAGATGGCAACGCCTGCATCATCAGAGGGCAGGAGAATTATCATGATAAAAAGAACTCAATTTTCTCACGCACTCAAAATTCTCCAGCAAGCAATTTTCTTCGACGTTTATTCTTTAGTTCTTCGCGTAGTTTTTTGATTAATGATGCATAATAATCTCTGGTTATTGTTGCACCTTTACTTAAATCGTCGATCATTATTATACCTTCCGCATCCCAGAAGAGAGAGGCCATTATTTTCCTAGCGGACGCAGACATCTTGAATCTCTTGGGAGGCGGGGAAGACGGTCTTTTCCACACCTTGCTTTGGTGTTTCGTCTCCTCTGGTTTTCGTCTCACGTTTCATCTACAGTTATCAATGGAGCGCAAAAAGAATCTGGATCTTCTTCAATTATTGCTAAGTTTAGCTTTGAAATGTCAAATCTTGTTTTCTTTTGAGCCTCTAAACCTCTCCAATGTTAAATTCCAGGAACCCAGCACGCGGCC